AAACATCGCTAAATGGAAAACTGGAGAGACGGATATTAATAATAAAAGAAAAGAGAAAGAAATATTCTTACAAACAATATTATTTCTGAAAGCGTACTCTTTATTTCTTTATGAATTCTTAAATTTTTAAGATCGAGTCGTCCCCCACCCAGGTAAATTAAGAAAAGAAATATTTATTATGACTTTGTGTCCCACCTTCGGTTGGCGATGTATATTTTATACTAACGATAATAAGGATTTGTTCGTTCAACGCGTGTGTAACAGTATACATTATAGAGTCACGTAATACGTTTATGCTGCTACGAAATCTTATAACATTTTACATCTTCTCAACTCATCTAATTATCAGCCCTACTAAAAACGAATAATTAACATATGATATTAATATTGATTGATTGATTGATTAATTGATTGATATTGTTATGCGTTAGTTAGTTACCCACAATAATTTTTTAAATAAATAAATAGAAAGAGTTTCAAGCGGGAGAAAGAAAGATTTTTTTTTCTGTTTACCATCATTACCAGTTTTGTTAACCCGTATAATTATTAATTAAAAATACAAAAAGAATATTTGTTCTATGTAATCCAGAGAGAACACAGACACTTTCTCCTACAAAATCATAAACAATCTGTGTAGACAATACTAATTATTATTGTCGATGGGAGATGGATTGCATGCATATGAAGATACTTATTATACAGACTACTTATTATCATTAATGATTTCAAATGAACATATTAATTATAGTTATCATCATAAGATTTTTACCTTCTTGTTTTACAAATTTAGTTTTCATTACGCAAACTATCTAACATATTCATGTATTCTTGTACAAATCAGAATTGTAATATGAATGAAAGAATTAAATTAGTTAATATTAATGTTTTGATAAAAAGATTTCATCCCTAAATTATCTTTGGCGTTATTTTTTTTTTGCTATATTATGAAGCTTGCATAGAAATAAAACTAGCCAAACTAATATTAATTAAATTACAGCCTTCGCTTATCTATCTACTTTTTACAAATATCGTTATCATTGTCTTTATTTAAACATTTATTATAAAAAATGCATCACTAACTACTCTTTGTATTAAATAATTATTCTTTGTAATAATCTCAGAATCTTGGAACATGTTTGAATGAAATTGAATGATTGGTTGTTTTGCGTAAATAGATAAATGATTTTAATACTAAAGGAAAATTTTATATAAGCTTGTATAATATTACGAGACCCCTTCATCTGTCTATTTTCATAATTACCGTTATCATTGTTTTTTTTTTTATTTAAACATTTATGTTACGTTTTCAGGACGTTAACAGATAATTATAGCTAAACCCGAAATTTAAAATTAACTGTAACAAGTAAAACAACTTGATCAAGTTTTGTTTCTAAATTTATCTAGTTACGCGATGAAAATTCAACCCTGATTTGTGGCTTTGAAATATGAAATATATAGCAATAATTTGTAAAGTAAAAAAGCGCCAACTTCACCATTGAACAAGTAAACTCGATTAAAATCCACCTGCACATGAATGCGCGGCCAGATGATTTTCTTTCAAAAGCATCTTGATTACTAAAAAAATTTTTTTATTAATAAAACAATAAATATTCTTTTTAACAAAAATTTATAATTAATAACAAATGTTTCTTTCTTTTTATTTGCCCAATGTTCAATATTCGTATGCTATTTCAAAATCAAAATCTGTAAAATAAAAGATTTATTGTTAAAAATCAAAAGTAGTTTATCTATTTATCTATACTTTGCTGCACGAATTTCTCTGCAGGTAAATTATTATTGGCAAGCTTAAATGTAACACAAACCATCGATTACATTTATTAATTCGTGATAGAAGTAAATGATTGGGTTAATATTTACTATTTTACTTCAGAAATCCAGAGATACCCGATAGTAAAATTTGGTTTTTTATTAAATAAAAAATTTTTTTTTTATGTGAAGCAATTTTATAGTTCTAATGTATCTAAAATCACATTATTTTTTGTTTGCGGAATATTATGTTATAATGGAGAGAAGTATTTCAATTCGTCGATTTTTTACACATTTTTGCCCCAAATCGACATATAGATTTTATCTACTTCTATCACGTATCACGAATTAAGGTTGAATGAACAATTATAATTCAACTCCTATATAGACAAAAGGTGACTACCAACAACATAAAATCTAAAAGGATATTTTTTATCATCTTTGAAAAAAAAATCCATCACTCATAAGCAATATGGTCATAATGAAATTATCAAAAATTAAGCAATTGTCATTTGATTTTGATATAACACAAGTACAAACACTAACCAGATATAACACAAAAATGATGTTATTTTAAGAGAAATGTCTCAAGAAGTTATTATCTAACTGTGGGTATGCTTTTAAGTTCAAAAGGATCTCTGCACAAATTTACATAAAAGTGTGTGCTTAACTTGATTTTAACCTTGGGATCCTGAGACATGTTCCTGCACAAAAAGTTTCAATAATAAATAAATTTGAATAAATATCCGGTCCTTTAGACGAAAGGATCTGTTTAAAAGTTTGACACTTGTACACTCACCTGCCAAAAGTATCCAGACAAAATGTAGATCATGTAAATTTCCGTGACATTTCTGGGTGTTTTACACAAAAATACTCGAAAACTAGCGAGAAA